TCTCTCATTTTTGGACCCTACCATTTGTACAAACAGAGAAATGTAAATATGAATAAATAAAATATATGAACTGTGCAAAGAAAATTCAATAATTGCCAAGGAATATGAAGAAACACTGTTATTACTTTCATTTAAAACATGGAAATCTGCTATAGCTTTCTCTCTTAAAAAGAAAAATGATAATCAAAGTGTGTCAGGTCAAAGGAATAAAATAAATAAATTCATGATGACGGCAGTAATGCTGACCGGTTGGCCTCGACCATCTCTCTCTCTTGCTGACAGAGTTTAGTCTTCAGGGCAGTGATCTCCTGCAGGAACAGCCGGACACTCTCTGGTTCAATCCCCTGTGAGCTCATCTGGGCCGCTCGCAGCTTCTCCACCTCCGCCTTCAGCTCTAAAACAAACACACACACACATACATACAGTTTGTTCCAAATACATACAGCTAAATTATATAATGAAGCAGTACTGAGGAAATATAAACTTAGAGGAATACCAATACTGTCAATACAAATTGCAGTGTTACATAAAGGTCCTTACAGTTTGTTTTAGGGCATGACTTCAAAAGAGGCAACAAATAATATTCAGATTTTGTTTAAGATCTGAACAATATCATTTACAGACAACAATTTACACAGCAACACAGACTGGATTTGTAATGTTTAAGTCATAGTCCCTTAGAGTCTATCACACCGACATGAGAGAAAATCACAGCAAGAGCTCCCCTTAGTGCGGAGAATGTGGAACAGCAGCATAATCATATCGTGAAAAATAATACTTGCATGACAGTTAGCCGCCATGTGCAGCTGACAGTGCATAAATATGGCCTGGAGGCAAGGTTAGGGCCAAGCTTTAATTGAACTGGGTAGTGCATAAGTTGGTGATGGATAGATGGGCAGACAGGAGGGTATATGTGGGAGAGGAGAGAGAAGAAGATCAAGTGCAAGACATGAATAGTAAGATAGACGTGCATGTATATAGAAAGAGAACAAGAGACAAAAACAAACGGAGGCAGATGAAGTAGGAGCTAGTGAAAAGAGAATACATTGTTTGAATCGAAGTTGTGTGTATATATATATATAAATAAGCTACTGAAAACAGGAGGGGTTTGTTTAGTAAGTGCACTATGTTGCTTTAAAACTTGATTTTGTACGGCTGAGATTTTTTTCAGTGCACAAATACTTTTGCCAGATGCTAGGAGGCAAACTGGGTAGAAACATCAGTCAAGCATAGAAAATCCATTTCCTTGTGAATAAGGACATGCAGGTGTGTGCTGTGTAGGATGGCAGATTTTCAGGTTGACAAAAAACCAGGACCTCCAGAAAAATATAATGTCCATGAATGTGCACGGCAAGAAGAAAGAACTCTCTCTGAGTTGAAAATTGTTTTCTCAAGGGAGAAAGGTGTTACACACACACGCATCCCACATCCTCCGGTGTTATCACAAAGGTCACATCCACCTATAAATGTATCTATTTATTTATATTTAATATATTCCTGCATGAATGGACAAGTTCTCAAACAAATATAGTGATAAGACATATTAAAATGATCTATTATTACACGGTGGGTGTAGATAAGTAAACAGGTTTGAAGGCATATAACAGTTTTAACAAAAGCTTTCTCGGTTTCTCACCTCTGATGAGCTTTGCACTGGTGTCTTCATTGACCTTGGCAACATTGATGATTGTCCGGGCCTGCTGGGCATAGCGGAGGGTGCTTAGACTTTCCTCCACATTGCTGCCTGCTGGACTCAGTGTGGCGATCATGGCTGTCTTAGAGTTTCCCCCGAGGCTTTCTTTTAACAGCCTGCAGAAGAACAACCCGGGTCAGGATCAAATTAAAATGTTGATTTCTTCAGAGACCTGTGCAACAATGTATTTTCAATACAGTTATAACAATTTCTATATGCT